AATCCATAGTTGAGTCTGGTAGAGTAGTGGTTAGAGCACTTGTCTCGCAAGCGAGAGGACCCGGGTTCGATTCCCGGGCAGGGAGAAACCTGAGGCAGGTTTCCTTACTCCACAAGCCTCTGTGTACCCAGTAGTAAGTAGGAACCAGGTTGTTGGTGGATCGCTAATAATTCCTTCAAAAACTTTTTTTAAAAATGTGGTCACTCAGTTCATGACTGTTTGCTGTGCACAGTTGCCCACAAGATATAGTCACTGCATTTACATTATATTCTGTGAAGCACTTTGAGATGTCTCAAAGATATGATAAGGCGCTATATCAAATCCCTTGATCCCCTGACCTAACAAACATCTCTCCACCTCACTCTTGAAAATGTGAATGGATCAGCCATAATCCACAGCCCTTTGAGAGAGAGAGTTCCAGATTTCCACTCCCCTTTGTGTGAAAAACTGATTGAGGTGTTTAAAATTATAAAGGGATTCAACTCCTGATTTCACTCCTAAATGGCCCGGCTCTAATTTTAAGATGACGTCCCTTATTCTGGATTCCCCCTCCAGAGGAAATAGTTTCTCTGTAGCTACGCTATCGAATCCCTTTATTATTTTAAACACCTCAATCAGATCAGCCTCAACCTTCCAAACTCAAGGGAATAGAGACCACGTTTATGCAACCGGTCCTCATAATTTAACCCTTTAATCCCTGAATCTGCGCTGCAACCCCTCCAGAGCCAATATATCCTTCCTGAGGTGCGGTGCCCAAACTCCGCACTTACCGGCTGCCTTGAACCGCGGGAAATGTAATCTTGATCAGTCGATGCAACACAATGCAATTCCAACACTTGCTGCGATGGGTTAAGACACATTGAATCGCGTGAAATGTAGTCTTGACCCGTCACCGCGTGCACACGTACCAGCTATATAATAATGATAATAATCCTTGCATTTGATATAGCGGCTTATATTGAGACGTCTCAAAGCGCTTCACAGAATATACTGTAAAGTGAATTGACTGCATATTTTGTGGGAGAAACACGGCAACCAATTGCACACAGCAGCGTCCCACAAACACTCATGGATTGAATAACCAAAATATATGAAGGGATTATTACCCTCGGGAAACCAATCTGCCAGTCCACTCACAACCAGGTTCCTATTTACTGCTGGTAAACAGAGATGGGTAGAATATGGAAACTTGCCCAACCTTTTGCCCTTCCCGGGTATTGAACCCTGGACCCCTCGCTTGCGAGCTGCAGGACTCTACTGCCGCATTCATTTACTCATGTGCAGGGTAGATTATTGATTAAATTGGATTTTATAAGATTTACCAATTTGCCTGCAACTCGGACTCATGTGAGGTTTACTGTAACAACGACGTGTACGTTCTGTGTTTGACACAGAGTGCAGTGACTGTGTGTTTTGTAGGTGAACGCGGCAGCCAATTTGCGCACAGAAGCATCCCGCAAACAGCCGCGAAGTGAACAATCAACCTGTCTCGATGTGTGTGTGTGTGTGTGTGTTGTCGGCCAGGACACTGAACAGTAATCAGTGAGCAGTGCTTTCAGATATTGAAGCTTTACAAACCGCTGGTTAGGTCCCAGTTGGAGTATTGTGTCAAATTCTGGGCACCACACTTTAGGAAGGATATCAAATCTTTGGAGAGGATGCAGAGGAGATTCACCAGAATATATTATAAGGGATGAGGGACTTTAGTTATGTGGAGAGATTAGAGAGGCTGGGATTATTCCTTTAGAGCAGAGAAATTAATGGGAGATTGAACAACAACTACAACAAGCTGCATTTATAGAGTGCCCCTCAAGCAGGATAGCGTCCCAGAGCGCTTAGATTTAATAGAGGTGTTCAAAATTATGAGGGGTTTTAATAGAGTAGACAGGGAGAATCTTTGCTCTGGGTCAGTCACCAGAGGACACAGATTTAAGATAATTGGCAAATGAACCAGAGGGAAGACCAGGAGAAATATCTTTACCCAGAGAGATGTTATGGTCTGGACTGCCCTGCCTGAAAGGTTGGTGGAAGCAGATTCAATAATAGCTTAAAAAAGAGAATTAGATAGATACTTAAAAGGGAAAAATGTGCAGGGCTAATGGGTAAGAGTGGGGGAGTGGGATTAGTTGGGAGCTCTTTCAAAGAGCCGGCAGAGGCACAATGGGCCGAATAATAATAATAATAATAATAATCCTTGCATTTGATATAGTGCTTTTCATGTTGGGAGGACGTCCCAAAGCGCTTCACAGAACACACTGTAAAGTGAATTGACTGTATATTTGTGGGCGAACGCGGCAGCCAATTGCACACAGCAATGTCCCACAAACAGTCGTAGGTTGAAAATGACCAATTTATTATTTTTTTGGTTTTGGAGGGATTATTATTAGGCTCTGTGTGGAGTAAGGAAACTTGCCCAAGGTTTCGCCCTCTGCCTGGAATTGAACTCAGGCCTCTCACTTGCAAAGCGAGTGCTCTAACCACTGAGCTACAGGACTCCACGAAGGAATGGCCTCCTTCTGTTCTGTAAGATTCTGTGATTCTATATTCTAGGTTTAGTGCTGTGAGACTGTATTGAATGTCTGTGACGCTCCTGGTAACTGGGTCAGCGGATATCAACATGTCAGCTCCTTGTGCAGGGGCTCGTGTGAGGCTGAATAAAGCTGGGTTCTATTCCCGGGAGATGCGCGGGTTGGGGGGTGACCTAATTGCAGTGTTTAAAATAATGTGGGTATTTGACAAGGTGACAGAGGGATACAAAGTGACAGGACCACAGGTTCTCCTCCAACGGTTTCTCTTCCATCCCCCACACAGTCTTGTGCGGCGTTCCTCAGGGCTCTGTCCTCGGTCCCTTCCTCTTCAACCACTACATGCTCACTCTTGGTGATATCATCCACAGACATGGGGTCAACTTCCACATGTACACGGATGACACCAGACTCTATCTCTGTGCCTCCACCCTCGATTGCAGGACAACTGATGTCTGACATCAAGTCCTGGATGAGAGCCAACTTTCTACAGCTGAATGTCAGCAAGACTGAGGCCCTCCTGATTGACTCACGCCAGTGCCTCAGCACCTCAGGCTCTGGCAGCATCAGCATCCACAGTTGCACACTTCACCTGACCAAGCCAGTTAGGAACCTGGGCACCTTGTTCGACCCTCAACTGTCCTTTCTCCCCCATATCCATGCCATGCCCCGCTCTGCCTTCCCCCACCTCTGCAACATTGCCCACTGTCTCACAGCGCAGGCAGCCGAAACCCTCATTCACACTTTTATTACATCGAGGCTCGACTACGCAAACTCATTGCTTGTCGGCTTCCCCAACTCCTCCCTCCACAGGCTGCAGATCATCCAGAACTCCGCAGCCCGTGTCCTCTCCCGCAATAAGCTCCGTGACCCCATCACCCCCATCCTCGCCCGACTCCACTGGCTTCCCATCACACAGAGGATACAAGATCCTGGTCCTCACCTTCAATGCCCTCCATGGTCTCGCTCCCTCCCTACCTCTGCGACCTCCTAACCCCATACCATCCTGTTCGTTCCCTCCGCCCAGTGGCTCTGGCGCTTCACGTCCCTCGCCTTGCTCGCCCCACTATTGACGGACAGGCCTTCCGCCACTCTGCATTCATACTCTGGAACTCCATCCCACAGTCCCTCCGTCTCACCCCCTCCCTCTCCACTTTCAAGACCTATCTCAAGACACTCCTCTTCAACCGTGCTTTCGATCTCTCTGCTTCCCGCCCTCCCTCCACTGTCCCCAATCCAGACCCAGCTCGGTCCGTAACTCAGTCCAGCGCCTTGGGAAGTCCTCCTGATGTGAAAGGCGCTTTACACATGTAATTTTGTTGTTGTTGTTGTCATTGTATGGATTACACAGCCTCCCCCCCCATCCCCCCACACACAGGGGAGGGAGCGAACAGGATGGTAGGGGTTAGCAGGTCGCAGAGGTAGGGGAAGCAAAGGCTTTGAAGGTGAGGACCAGGATCTTGAACTGTATCCTCTGTGCGATGGGAAGCCAGTGGGGTCGGGCGAGGATGGGGGTGATAGGGTCACAGAGCCCGGTGGGGGCGAGGATGGGGGTGATAGAGTCACGGAGCCCGGAGCGGGAGAGGACACAGGCTGCAGAGTTCTGGATGATCTGCAGTCTGTGGAGGGAGGAGTTGGGGGCCGACAAGCAGTGAGTTTGCATAGTCGAGCCTCGATGTAATGAAGGCGTGTGTGAGGGTTTTGGCGTGAGGCAGTGGCGGAGCCGGGGGATATTGCAGAGATGAGAGAAGGCAGAGCGGGTCATGGTGCAGATGTGGGGTAGAAAGGATAGTTGAGGGTCAAACAAGACCCCAAGGTTCGGGACTGGCTCAGTGAGGGGGAGTGAGCCCCATGGATGGTGATGCTGTCAGTGCCTGAGGTGAGGAGGCGCTGACGGGAGTCAATCAGGAGCCTCAGTTTTGTTGACGTTCAACTGAAGAAAATTCGCTCTCATCCAGGACTTGACGTCTGACAGACATTCTGTCAGGATAGCAGTGGGTCCTGGAGTCGAGAGCGGAGGCAGAGAGGGAGAGTTGGGTGTCATACATGTGGAAGTTGACCCCATGTCTGTGGATGATGTCACCAAGAGGAGCATATAGATATTGAAGAGGGGGGGACAAGGACAGAGCCCTGAGGAACACCGTACGACACGGTGGGGGAGCTGGAGGAGAAGCCGTTTGAGGAGATGAAGTGCAGGGGCTGTGAGAGGTACGATCTGAACCAATTAAGCACAGCGCCGTGAAGGTTGAGGTGAGAGGAGAGGCGGTGGATGAGGTGGTCAACGGTGTCGAAAGCATCAAAGAGGTCAAGGAGGCAGAGGGAGCCCTGGTCGTAGATGGACTGAATGTCATTTGTCACTTTGACACGTGTATGTGTGGGATGGCTGTGTATCCAGTGGGGGGTAGGGCTGTGTGCAGTAGGATTCTGTGCGGTAATCTCTCATTCTCATGCTCTCTCTCTCTCCGTTATATTTAGAAATGTGGAGCCCAGGCCTATCTCCAGTCTCGCCACTTGGACACGAACATGGCTTCCCCGAGCTCAGCGAAGGTATGTTACAGCTCCACCCCCCACACAGACATGCAGAGAGAGAGGCAATTCAGCCCATTGTGTCTGGGCCAAACACACCCAGTGCTTTTGCTATAAGAGGAGGCCATTCAGCCCTCGAGCCTGTTCCGCCATTCTATGGCTGATCTATACCTCAACTCCAATTACCCGCCTTTGCTCCATATCCTCTGCCCACACTGTGCCAGCGCCTGTCCTACCCACATACAGCCTTCGCTGTAGGCTCCCTCTGCCTTCACTGCTCTGGCTCTAGCTCCTAGCACTGGGAGCTGACCATTGCCGTGGCAGCCGTTAGTGGGAGGCATTCGGTGCCATGGCTGTGATTGCCGGTGGCCCAGCGCTGAGACACCCTTATTCTCAGCTGCTCCTCCTCTCAAAGAAAAACAACAAATGATATTTACGCAGCGCTTTTCACGTCGGGAGGACATTCCAAGGCGCTGTCAGTGATTTGGACCCGAGCTGGGGGTCGCGATCGGGGAGGGTAGAGGGCAAGGGGGGAAGCAGAGATCAAAAGCACCGTCAAAGAGGAGGGTCTTGAAGAAGGCGAGGGAGGTAGCAAGGTGGAGGGACTGTGGGATGGAGTTCCAGAGGGTGGGGGCAGAGTGGCAGAAGGCCCGCTCGCTAACAGTGGGGCGAGCAAGGCAGGGGACGTGAAGCAGGCTGGAGCCCACTGAGAGGTAGGGGGTTAGGAGGTCGCAGTGTAGTGGGGAGCAAGACCATAGAGGGCTTTGAAGGTGAGGACCAGGATCTTGAACTGTATCCTCTGAGTGGACTTGATTAGGGATTTGGACCCAATCAGGGGGTTAGAAACTCCATCCCACAGTCCTTTTGCCTTGCTCCCTCACCTCCTTTAAGGCCCATCTCAAGACCCTTTGGGAGTTCTTACTCATTTCCCCAATCTTTCCCTGAGCTATTCTACACATGCGGAAACCGGTCAATGTGATCAGCCGGTGTCTGACACGCACGGAAACTCATCACTGTGTTTAACAGTCTCAAAACCAAACGGGGAGTCTCAAATATATCTGCCAGCCACACATGGGAATCTCCCTGTGTCTGGAATGGAGTGTACACTCTCCCTGGAGGGACACTCCCTACTTACCTAATTCTGGAGAGTATTAGGCGCAGGTTGGCAAGAGCCAAGGTTTGGGGGGACCCCAGAGTGTGTGTTGGGGTAACTGCTGGAGTGTAACCGGCTAAACCCACACCGCTCGGCCATTGATATCACTGTCTGGCAGCTTTCCCGCTGCTTGTCCAGCGAGGAACCCCCTCCCCGTTAGTTAGAGCTTTGGCTGTGGGGCTACCAGGAGCTGAGGGGGAGGATTCCCGGCCCCCAGTGACTGGTCGGCCCTTCCAGGTCCTGCTGATGAGCCGGGACGGGCTGTGCTGTCATCAGCAACAACAACAACATGATTGCATTTAAAGAGCGCCTTTCACGTCGGGAGGACGTCCCAAGGCGCTGGACAGTTGGGTCAGGACCCGAGCATTGGGGAAATGGTCAGGGTGAGGAGAGGGAAGGGAGGGAGGGAGCGAGTGGAGAGTCGAGCTAAAGGCACGGTTGAAGAGAAAGGTCTTGAGACCGACCTTGAAGGAGGAAAGGGAGGAAGCGGTGAAGGCACTGGGGGATAGAGTTCCAGAGCCTCGGGGCTGAGAGGCTGAAGGCCCGGCCACCGATGGTAGACCGGAGCCGGAGGAAAGGAGGGTATGGGCAGGTATGTGGGGGGATAGTAGGTCAGAGAGGTAGGAGGGAGCGCGGCTGTGAATGGCTTTGTAGGTGAGGATGAGGTTCTTGAATTCGATCCTCTCAGGGATGGGGAGCCAGTGGAGGCGAGCGAGGGTGAGGGTGAGGGTGAGGGTGGGAGTGATGTGGTCCCGAAGCCTCATGCGGGAAGTACACGAGCTGCAGAGTTCTGAATGACCTGCAGTGTGGAGGGAGGGCCGGGAAGGCCGCGAGGAGAGCGTTCCCATAGTCCAGCCTTGAGGTGATAAAGGCGTGGACCAGAGTTTCAGCCGCGTGAGGGGTGAGGTAGTGCCGTAGTCTGGTGATGTTCCGGAGGTGATGGAAGGCGGTGCCCGTTGTGGAGCGGATGTGAGGGAGAAAGGACAGCTCAGGGTCGAACAGAACCCCGAGGTTCCTGATGGCTTTGAGAGGTGGAGAGTGCGGCCTTGGATGCTGATGGTGTCAGCGCCTGAGGTGCGGAGGCGCTGACGTGAGCCAATCAGGAGGGCCTCGTTTTGCGCACGTTGAGCTGAAGAAAGTTGTCTCTCGTCCCGGACTCGATGTCGGACAGGCAGCTGTCAGGACATCGGGGGTCGTGGAGTTGAGGGTAGAGGAGGAAAGGTAGAGTTGGGTGTCATCCGCATACACATGTGGGAGTGAACCCCATGTCTGCAGTGAGTGCCCTGGAATACTGCGGCCCCTCCTGGCTCAGGAACTGGACTAGAGATTGTGGGGGGTGGGGAGGGTGTTAGAGGGAAGGGTCAATCTCCGGGAGGGAGTAGGGGATACGAGCCTTGATGTGAGCTGCTCACTGTGGAGCGTGTGTTTAGCTGCTGTGTGTCTGTGTCCCTCAGACTTGCTGTCCCCGGCGATTACCGGCCACACAGCCCCCCACCCTGGGGCTCAACGCGACCACATGCTGCTGTCCACCACCACCACGGAGACGGCTGCAGTCACCATGGTAACTGGCGGCAGCTCGGAGATCCCGCAGGGGGCCATGCTGGTCACCACGAGGACCACAGAGGGTTCTGGTGAGGGGGGGCCGGAGGATGGGGAGGTGGCTGAGATCACACAGACGGTGGAGTCCGAGGTGATCACTGTGGTCGTGGAGAAGAAAAAGAAACGGCGTAACCGTCACCGCAGAAATGGCCCCCCTCCCCCTCCCCCTGATGAGACCACTGACGAGACCCCCAGGGAGCAGCTGTCACTGGGGGCCGCCCCGGACAGTGAGGGGGGCAGTGAGGGCGCACAAGGAGCTCTGGCTCACACGCCACCTGAGACAAACACAGCACAGGATATGCAGCCAGCGGCGATGCAACCGCCAGCAATGCAGCCAACGGAAACACAACCAATAGGAACATGGGCAGCAACAACGCAGCCAGTGACAGTGCAGCCAGCGACAGTGCAGATAGCAGCAATGCAGCCAATGGGAACACAATCGACTGAAAGGCAACCAGCAGCAACGGAGCCAGCAACAGTGCAGACCGCGGAAATGCAGCCAATAGGAATGCATCCAGCAACAATGCAGCCAGCAGAAATGCAACTAAGGGTAGACACCCAGCCAGTGGAAATGAAACCAGTAGGAATGCAACCAGCAACCGTGCAAACGAGGGAAACACAACCAGCACCCGTGCAGCCGGCGACCATGGAGCCAGCGCCCGTGCAGCTGGCGCCCGTGGAGCCAACGCCCATACAGACAGCGCCCGTGGAGCCGGCGCCCGTGGAGCCAGCGCCCGTGCAGCCAGCGCCCGTGCAGCCTGCGCCCGTGCAGCCAGCGCCCGTGCCACAAACTGCACCCAAGACGGAGCATCCTGCAGACAGTTGTTCCCAGGTTGAGGCTGAGGAGATGCTGGGGCCGGGGCCCAGGGCTGTGGACGGTCTCTCTGGGGCCCAATCGGCACAGGTGCCCTCAGTGGGGCAGGAGGAGGCGAGTGGGCGAGGGAGTGGCCTGGCTCAGGTAGAGGGGAAGTTGAATGAGTTTCGGGGCCTGTGTGAGGAGGAGGCGGACCCAGTGCAGCACCCAGCCCCGCCCCTGGAGACCCCGCCTCGTCTCCCTCCTGCTGCCCAGGAGCAGGTGCAAGCAGAGGCCCCGAGCCCCGCCTCTAGCCCCACCCCATCTCGGCAGCCGGAGCCCAGCACAGACGTGAAGCCGCGCCCACAGGAGATGTCAAGCCCACACCCGGAGACACCCCGCCCACACACGGAGACACCCCGCCCACATATGGATACACCCCGCCCACATATGGATATGCCCCTCCCACATATGGATACGCCCCGCCCACATATGGATACGCCCCTCCCACATATGGATACCCCACACCTGGAGCCAGAGTCAGGTGAGTGATATTGACTTCTGCTCCTGGTAACTGCCATCAGCGCTGGAAACCACTGGAGCTCTCTGCTCTAATCCCGTTCCCTGCTCTCTCCCCATCGTGTTTGTGACGGTGCTCACTCCCCACTGGAGTAATCTTCCCATTACATCCTCACTTACCGATTTACTGGAACTGTAGTGACTGTGTTTCTCGGCCAAACGTGGCAGCTATTTTGCACACACACTGTCCCCCACACGCAACTGAGGTGACCGAGAGATTTTAAACCTGGGGATTGTCGGCCGGGGGGTGGGGAAGAGAGAGATAGTCTCCCTTCTCTTTCCCAATAACATGGGTGCCAAGCTAGGGCTGTCCAGTACCTAAGGACGTCCACCACGTGTGCGGAGAGAGAGCATATCCTCAATTTCTAATTTTCCTGCCAGCCAGTGAGTGCTGAAGTGACTCTCTCTCTCAGTGTCTCTCTCTGGCTCTCTGTTTCTCTCGTTCGCTCTGTCTCTCTCCTGCTCTTTATCCCACCCTCTTGCTCTCTGTCTGTCTCTTTCTTGCTTTCGATCTCCCTATTGCTCTCTCATTGTCTGTGTGTGTCTCTCTGTCTCTTTTTCTGTCTCTCTCTATCTCTCTTTCTCTGTATCTGGAACACTCTTCCTCTATCCCTCCGCTTTGCCCCTTCCTTCCCCATCTTGAGGTTGCACCTGAAGACCTTCCTATTTGACCGTGCCTACGGTCACCTCCCCCTCCCCCCCGGCTCGGCATTATGCTCCGGCACTGTCAAGCGCTCTGGGGGAGGGACGCTAAATAAATGCAAGTTGTTGCCTTTCTCTGTCTCTGTATACCTGTGTTTCTCTCTCTCCTCTCTCTCTCTCTCTCTCTCTGCCTCTCTCTTTCTGTCTCTCTCTTGCCCTCTCACTCACAGCGTCTTTAAATAGCTCTCACCCGTCAATGTTCGACCACGATGTGCATCTTAAACCTGTCCCCCATTTTAAACCTGACTCTGGCTTCAATAGTGAGAGCGAAGCAGCACTGACACAGGGCTAACATTCAACTCCATGGCTTTAACCACTTCCTGCCCACACCGTGAAGGGGGGCTGAGATTGTAACCCCCCCCCCCCCACACTTTCTCCCCATGCTCCAATGCTGTATCACCTGAGGCTGGCGGGAGAGTGGGGGTGGGGAGAGAGATGGGTGCAGAGGGAGGGAGGGTTGTTGGGGATATATAATAATAATAATCTTGCATTTGATACAGTACCTCATCACGTCTTCGAGACGTCTCAAAGCGTACACACTTACCAGCTACATTATAATAATGATAATAATCCTTGCATTTGATATAGCGCCTTATATTGAGACGTCTCAAAGCACTTCACAGAATATACTGCAAAGTGAATTGACTGTATATTTTGTGGGCAAAACACGGCAGCCAATTGCTCACAGCAGTGTCCCATAAACAATGTGGATTGAGTGACCAAATTATTATTATTTATTTTTATTTTGAGGGGATTATTACCCCGGAAGCGGTCATTTTATATAATGTAATAATCCTGATGTTCGATGCAGCGTTTTTCATATCAAGAGGCCGTCTCAAAGCTTTTCACAGGAATCGCTGTGAAGTGTAGTGACTGTGTGTTGTATAGAGGAATGCAGCAGCCAGTTTGTGCACAGTGACATTCCCACAAACTGCCATGGAGTGAGAGAGTGATTGTATCTGGGGATTGTCAGCCTGGACACTGAGAGAGTGAGAGACATACACAAAGACACAGAGAGACAGAGAGAGAGACAGACCCAGAGAGACTGACAGAGAGAGAGACAGACACAGAGAGACTGACAGAGAGAGAGACAGACACAGACACAGACAAAGAACGCACACAGATACAGAGAGACACAGTCAGACACAGAAATAGACCAACACAGACAGACACAGAGAGGCACAGACGGAAGCTGGTTTAACGTCTGATCTGAAGGTTTGCACCTTGGACAGTGCAGCGCCAGACACAGCACTGCGGGAAGCACTTTGTAAATTCAAGTTATTGCAGTTGTGTGTGTGTGAGAAAGTGTAATGTTCAGCAGTGTGTGTGAATGAGAGACCGTGTAGTGTTGAGCAATGTGTGTGTGAGTGTGAGCCACTGTAAAGTTGAGCAATGAGTGTGTGTACGTGTGTGTATAATGTTGAGCAGCGTGTGTGTGTAATGTTGAGCTGTGTGTATATGTAATGTTGAGCGGTGTGTGTAATGTTGAGCAGTGTGTGTGTGTAATGAGCAGTGTGTGTGTGTAATGAGCAGTGTGTGTGTGTGTGTGTGTAATGTTGAGCAGTGTGTGTGTGTGTGTAATGTTGAGCAGTGTGTGTGTGTAATGAGCAGTGTGTGTGTGTGTAATGAGCAGTGTGTGTGTGTGTGTGTGTAATGCTGAGCAGTGTGTGTGTAATGAGCAGTGTGTGTGTGTGTAATGAGCAGTGTGTGTGTGTGTAATGAGCAGTGTGTGTGTGTGTAATGCTGAGCAATGTGGTGTGTGTGTAATGCTGAGCAGTGTGTGTGTGTGTGTAATGAGCTGTGTGTGTGTAATGAGCAGTGTGTGTGTGTGTAATGAGCAGTGTGTGTGTGTGTAATATTGAGCAGTGTGTGTGTGTGTAATGAGCAGTGTGTGTGTGTAATGAGCAGTGTGTGTGTGTGTAATGAGCAGTGTGTGTGTGTGTAATGTTGAGCAGTGTGTGTGTGTGTGTAATGGGCAGTGTGTGTGTGTGTGTAATGAGCAGTGTGTGTGTGTGTAATGAGCAGTGTGTGTGTGTGTAATGTTGAGCAGTGTGTGTGTGTGTAATGAGCAGTGTGTGTGTGTGTGTGTGTAATGAGCAGTGTGTGTGTGTGTAATGAGCAGTGTGTGTGTGTGTGTGTGTAATGAGCAGTGTGTGTGTGTGTAATGAGCAGTGTGTGTGTGTGTGTGTAATGAGCAGTGTGTGTGTGTGTGTGTGTAATGAGCAGTGTGTGTGTGTGTGTGTGTGTAATGAGCAGTGTGTGTGTGTAATGAGCAGTGTGTGTGTGTGTGTGTAATGAGAAGTGTGTGTGTGTGTAATGAGCAGTGTGTGTGTGTGTAATGAGCAGTGTGTGTGTGTGTAATGAGCAGTGTGTGTGGTGTGTGTATGAGATGGTTGGTGAATGAGCAGTGTGTGTGTGTGTGAATGAGCAGTGTGTGTGTGTGTTGTGTGTAATGAGCAGTGTGTGTGTGTGTGGGGCATCGCTGCCCCCCGGTGCCGGGCTGGGGGGCCGGGCGGTGAGGCTGCCGGTGTCCCCTGTGCTCCCGGCCGCACCTTCGGCAGCTTTCCTCCCGCCCTGCTCTGGGATCTGCTCCAGTCTGTGGGGCTGGAACACCGGGCTGGCTCCCGCCGGCTCCACTCGCGGTGACACCAGGTCAGTGTCGAGGCTGAACCCCAGCGGCTGGTCTTCTGTCACCGTCATCGAGCGCTTGACCTGGGCCATGGGGGGCTTCCTGCTGGGGCTGGGGACCGGGCTGGTGCCCGGTGGAGAGACCGCTCCCGGGAGATCGGGGTAAGTTTCCCCCCCCTCGAAGCCGGCCGGCACGGACAGGTGCGAGCACTCAGACATGGCTCGTCTCATCTGCTTCCTCTGCTGTGCCGCTCGGTCGCTCGTCCCCTCCTCACCCTGGGGACTGCCCCTCTTGGCGGGGTCTGCGGTGCCGGGAGGCGCTGGCCTCTGGCCGCTCGGGGGGCCGGAGGGCACACAGGCTGCCGGCGGCTCAGACAGGAAGTAGGGGTTCCACACGCTGGTCTCCCCCGGCTCACTGATGTGCCGGCTCTCGCTCGCCGGGACTCCAGGACCCATGGTCTCCCAGGCCGGCAGCGGTGGTGCCCAAGGCTGAGTCACACCACCCGGCAGGTCTCCTGCAGCCAGGCCGGTGCCAGTCCCGGTGCCAGCCAGGCTTTGCCGAGCCCCAGAGAAAGGCTTGTCTGCAGACGACTGAATAGCCGAGACACGGCCGCCGCTCACAGCTCCCTCCTCCGGCCCGAGGAACCCCAGCTTGTCCTCATCAGTCAGGGCTTGGGGCTCCATTTGCCCCCTTGCTGACACCCTGGGTCTGTCTGTGCCCGCTGTGCCCAGGGCTGTGGGTCTGTCTGAGCCCAGGGATGGCACACTGGCTCTGTCTGAGCCCAGGGCTGATACACTGGCTCTGTCTGTACCCAGAGCTGGCACACTGGCTCTGTCTGTGCCCAGGGCTGGCACACTGGCTCTGTCTGTGCCCAGGGCTGGCACACTGGCTCTATCTGTACCCAGGACTGGCACACTAGCTCTGTCTGCGCCCAGGACTGGCACACTGGCTCTGTCTGTGCCCAGGGCTGGCACACTAGCTCTGTCTGTGCCCAGGGCTGGCACACTGGCTCTGTCTGTGCCCAGGGCTGGCACACTAGCTCTGTCTGTGCCCGCTGTTCCCAGAGCTGGAAAGCCAGGTCTGTCTGTGCCCGCGGCTGTGGCGATGCTGCAGTCAGCGCTGGGTTTCTGCTCGTTGTTGTTCCATTCCCACTGTGAGTGGCTCCACTTGGCGGGGGGCTGGGCCGGGCCGGGGCACAGCTCAGGGTAGTCGGTGCGAGGCACTGGCTGCTGGTTTCTGACAGACATTGTGAGCTCTGCTCTGCCTCTGCGATGCGCTCCTCTCCTCTCTGACTGCTGATGGCAGCTACACTCTCCTCCGCTGGATCGCTCGCTCGCTCGCTCGCCTGACAACTAGATAAATCCGAGCGGCTGTGACATCACAACATGTCCCTGGTATTCATACGACGAACCCAAAGCTTTACCTTGGTTGACTGTATCCCTACGCCAAATAATCCCGGTCTCCGCAGCAGTCTAACCTGAGCACAGCACTCACTCGCTCTCTCTCTCTCTCTCTCCTCTCCTCACACACAGACTCAATCTGACAGAGATGCTTCGAGGAGCTTTGACACAGTGTCCCTGGTCCTCACTCACTGGTTGTGTGATCAGCCTTTCACTGTGTCCTCGCAGCAGCTCACATCAGC